ACCTCTTGCAAATTACCTTTTTACTTGATGTAGAGTTTATGTCACAAAAAAGAAAATAGCAAAAACAGAAAGTTTTTAGTTTATTAAGGAAAGAAATTTAGGGATACCACATTTTGAGACTATTTTTTGTAGATCACATGATATGTCGATTGATGATTACAACTGTTTTTAATGATTTAAAAAATAAATCCAACCTATCAACCGTCAAATCATGTGTTCTATAAAAAATAGATTTAAAATTTGGTGCCTTTAGAATCATCTGAAAAGTAAAATGAAGAAAGTTTCAGCATTGGTTAGGCATGAAAAGCCAAGTGTCATTCTCTGACAAGCTCTGCCCAACGAAGAGTGGCATTGCCACATTCCCGGCAACCATTGTCAATTTTCCACCTTCCGTTTCATATATAACATTTCAGCATTCTTTCCTCTCTCAAGATCAAAAATAAAAAATAAAAAAGAAATCCATTCTCTCCTCTTTCTCTTTAGCATCGGCCCCTGGGAAGGAGGAAGTGAAGGAAACTATTTCCTCCTTCTCATTGCACCTCTTTGCGCTGGTAATCCAACTCTTTTACCTCTTTGAAAAATTTATCTTTCCATTTATGTTGTCAAAACGTGAATAAAGATAGTTGATTGTACGAGATCATGCATGTTTAAATGTAATAACATAGCTTGACACACATTTTTAACTCTTAGTATAACAACGCAAAATGTCACATATATGATTAGAGATCACCAATTTAATTATGCATGGAATAAAATTTATATATGCATATATATTGTATTTCTATGTGTTTGTTTTGGATTGGCATGTTATAGGGTTTAATTTCGGTTTTCTCATATGTTTGTGTTATTTTGCTTTATTACTCTTTGCAAAGCAAGGGTAAGGCTGCGTAGACGTTCTCCCAACCCCCACTCTCGCAAGGCGGTGTGACCTTGTTGGCCTGGGGTCGCCTTTTTTTACTCATTGTTGGTTAGCTTTATGTTCTGTGGATAGTTTATCATATGCAATATATAGTGAAGAACTGCAGCTTTTTTATGGGGTGGTTCATTTGTTTTGAGCTTCGGATGTTGTCAAAGCGGAAATATGTTTGATTCAGGTTGCAAATTTTCGTATTAGGGAACAAATGGATTAAATCATTGTTTACAGCCTTAAAACTGCGATGAATTGCACGGTATTGGATTTAATTTGGGTACTTGATGAATACTGCTGTAAGAAATTAATCTTGATGTTGTATATCAGATGCTAGGATAAAGATCCAACAAAATTACGAGGATGGCTGTCAGCTATAAATATTGGAATGACTGTGTTGATCCCCACGACCTAGAAGAAATGTGGAGTAGTCCTTATGTGGCTGCAGAATGGTTAGATGCTGGAGAGACCAAAGGCCAGAAAGTTCACATCTCGCGTGATCCTGATGGAAATGCTTACTTGACACAGATCGAGATGAAGGTGAAGCAGTTGTAACTACATTGAAGGAAATGACAGTTACTATAAGTTTAACTAAGAAGTTTTGAAGTATGAGACTGGGCAATTAGCCGATTACATTTTCTTTTACAACTGTTAGTATCGTTAACGGGAACAATTTTTACTAAAAAGGCTAAAGAGAATTCTTTTGGAATAAATTAGGCACAGACCATTTTCTTCTGAATTTGTTGAATAATTTACCTTGCATCAAATGGCTGTTTTGCAGGCTGTGGCTGAGATCATCATCCGCCGGCATTTTGGTTCACAAATAGATCCTGTAAGTTTTCTATGATAAGAAAAGATTAGCGAGTCTGTTTCCCTTCTATAATGTGTTTTAATCAGCTTGAATTGAACACACTTTTTCCTTCATCCAAAAGAATAAAAGAATGGATGTTTCCTCAGTGGCATATACGTCTGGTCTTCGCAATTGAGTCATCAGCTGCTGTGAATGCAGCTTCAATTTCTGCAGAAAAATAAACATCCCATTGTTACGCGGCTATTTATTTTCTTTCCCCTTAATTTTTTTCCTTTTGTTTCCTGCAGGATATGATTTGTGCTATTTCTGAACTTGCAAGTGATAGACAGCCCCTTGCTACACGGTATGATAAAAAATCTAAGTCCACCTCTGTAGGGATCATGCAACTTTTTCCAAAGACCGCTGACTGGCTAGCTAGGTACAGCCTTATGAACTGATTTGATTGAGAACAGACCTCTTAAATGGACCAGCAATGTTGGTTATCTACTTTTTATGTAATTTGGAGCAATGACGATGTAAGTGAAACTTTCTTGCAGTGATTTGGGTTACCATGCATATGATATTCAAGGGAATCACGATCTTCTGTTCAAGCCTTTTGTAAATGTATATTTTGGTGCTGCGTATCTTAAATGGCTAGCAAAGTTTGATAACAAGTAAGTTACAAAATGTAGTGTTCGTCTGATCATTTTTTGGTATCTGGTTACATGTGGCTCCTAGGAGTGTGAACTTGGTCATGTCCAGCTACTAAGATTAGTATTGATATATACTTCCGAGTTCCGTCTTTGTTTGTAGAGAAAGAGGTGAAGAATTCATAGTTAGGGCATATAAAGGTGGCACCAAGAAGGCGACTCACAAATCAACTTTGCAGTATTGGCAACGGTATCTTTCAGTCAAAGAAAGTCTTCCATCCAGGTTGCCGTCTCCTCTCTATCACTATAATCTGGAACTTGGTTTAAGCATTTTTCGTAATGATAGTTTTGTTTTTGGCAATGTAAATGATGCATTGAAATGTTTTCCACTCAACTGTATAAAGGTTTAGAATGTTTGGTGAAGAATTGGAGCCAAGTTAGAAATTGTTGTGCAGTGAACAACGAATTATTTGTAGCGAAAAGAAAACAATGTGTTATGTTTGTTGAATTATGAAGTCTCATGGTTAAGTAGAAGCTAACTTTTTTCAGATATATTCCATTCTGATAACGTTGTATCACACCTTTGTGCAGAAAATGTTTTGAAGGTCATCCATCTCCAATTCATGGTTCTACTTCTAATGCCCATCATGCTGCGCCGACTGCACCCTCACACAACACAGGTTGGTCCTCTTTCCAGTTACAGACCGAGCTACTGTAATTCGCATCAGTTCAACTGATAAATCTGTTTTAGAAAAATATATTATGTTTTGTTTAGTACGAACATTGTAAAGAGAACATTTGTGGAGGTGGCAGTCTGTCAGTTGGCACGGATGGTACTAATCCAACCATGTTTTGTTTTGATAAGAATTTCTGTCGTTTTTATTCCTCATTTCATCAGGTCATCATGTTTATTGGGATGCCAGAGCTTCCCCAGAAGACATGGCAGAAATGTGGAATCATCATGACGTCTCTAAAGAGTGGAGCAGGACTGGAGAGAAAAAAGGAAAAGTACGATTCTCCATTGACGAAAAGAAAAGACCGTATCTTTCTCGTGCAGAACTGAAGGTATGAGTTTAGAAAGACTGGTTTGAAGTTCAGGATTATATTTCTATGGCTATCGTTGTGAATGAAATCAAACTTAACATGTCACCTAAATGATATTGACTTCTTGCAGGCAGTTGCAGATATCATACTCACAAAGCACTTCAGTACAAAGCCAATGAAAGCTGTAAGTATAACTCTAAGTTGTGAGATATGTTTTCGACTGTTTTGGACACCGCTTATTACAACCTGATTCTTCATCTGAGATATGTAAAAGCCTGGAAGATAACAAAACTATTTGTCATTTTTGCCTTGTGTTCTTCAGTTTCATAAGCATTTCTATCCTCACTCAGTTCACTTTTTTGACTCCAACAATCAGAGTCTTTTACTTTGTTATTCTTCTTTTCGGGAGACTTATTTTTTGCACAGTCAGTTCTTTGTGCTCTTGCAGAGGTTGTTAGCTTGCGTTTCCTGAATGGTGTCGGTCCACGTGCTGGAATAATGGGAATCGACTATTCTACAGCTTTATGGCTTTACAAGTATGTCAATCTCATAAAAGAACAAAATTTCTTAATTTGAACCGAGGAGCATACTCGAAACTTTATAACAATCTGTATAGAGATCAAGATCTTAGCTTGTCATGGGTTCCAATGTTTGGAAATGTCACCGCAGATTATTTTGAATTTTTACTATGCACTTAAACTTCCACGTTGCGTGCAGCGAGATGGGCTTTAGAGCATATAAACCTAATCAAGCCGATGATATTTGCAAGCCATTTTTCTCGATGTACTTTGGTGCAGCCTATTTAGTATGGTTAGTGGAATATGAAGGGAGGTAAGTAAGTTAGAGGATTAGTTTATCATTGGAAATAATTTTTGATCGCCTAATGTTGACATCGTTGACCATGTTATGTCTAATTTGATGGTCATAATAAACGAGCAGGTTAAGAACTCCGGAGTTTGTTGTTCAGGCTTATATCTTGGGGCCAAAAAATGTGAATCTTCAGGAGTCAGGTCCACAGTGGCTCAAGTTTGAACAAGCCTTAAGCCACTATGGAGACGCGAAGAAGTGTATTGAGTACGTACCATCTCACTTCACTTGTAAAAATTCAGAATCTTCTGTTTATGACTGATGAATCAACCTTGTTGTTGTAGGGAGCACAGGAGCTGCTCTATCATGTAAGCTGATGAAAATCACGTACATTGCCACCTTCGGTTGTAAAGGGTTCCATCCTTCGGATTGAGCAGAAGCATACATGAAAAACTCGAATGAATTGAGTAAAATGCTGCCAGGATATAGAACTGGTTCTCTTATAGAATTGCTTTTGTGATATTTTTGAAGAGCTGCTTTTTGTTTTTGGCAAAAACTATGTCCGAGTACAAAATATTAACACTTTGGTGCGTCTGTTTTCTGTTTTCTCAAAAGAGGATAGTTCTTTTTGTTAATCATCATTGTATCCTTCTGTAAAATGACTCAAAAACAAAAACTTAAACTCTAAAACATCATATTATTTGCTCTAACCTCAGAATTAAACTCTAAAACAAAAAATTAAAGTCAAAATTGGATGCTGCAAAATCAAATTATGATAAATGCATGTCAACCTCAGCTCCCCTAATTAAGAATAATCCTCAAATCACAGTCAAAATCTTGATCATATCGGTGTTAATGTCATCACTTCACAGTCAAGATCTTGATCATATCAGTGTTAACGCGGTGCAACGCCACAACAGAGTCTCCAGTCTTGCAAAGTCCCTTTGCTTTTGCATGTTGAATGGCAAAATGTATACTCTCTTCGGTGGACTCAGCATGAGAAGCCCTAATGGGACTTGAGCTGAGAAGAGGCAGAACTCCCCTGTAAATAAGGCCATGCCTCGCTGGAGCTGCATCACTGCAAGACCACTCGAAAGAGTCTGTTGTTATCTCAGGCACCACCACAGACAAAATTGGCATACTTGGCCTGTACTTAGCCACCAGCTTAGCCGTGCTTCCTCCTTTGGTCAGGACTAAAATCAGTGCCGCCTTGATGCAATTCGCTGTCTGAACTGCTGAGGAGGCCAAGCTCTCTAGTGGGGACATAGGCATTGCTGCAACTTCCATCTTTCTTTTGAAAAGCTCCCCATAATTTATAGAGTCCTCAGCAGAAACACAAATTTTGGCCATGGTTTGAACTGCAATTTCTGGATAGGCTCCCGCTGCTGTTTCACCGCTGAGCATCACGCAGTCAGTTCCGTCAAGAACTGCATTGGCAACATCGGTGGCTTCAGCTCGTGTGGGACGAGGAGACTTGACCATGGATTCTAACATCTGAGTAGCAGTCACGATCGGCTTGCCTAGTCTGTTGGCCTTCTCTATCATTAATTTCTGAGCTAAGAATATCTTCTCGATTGGAATCTCCATTCCGAGGTCACCCCTCGCCACCATAAACGCATCCGAATTTGCAAGAATTTCATCAAAGTTGGAAACCCCTTCTTGATTCTCAACCTACCAAAGAACAAAACACAAAACTCCATAAGAATCAGTAATACAAAAAGTTAAAACTCTGAAACCAAATAGGGTTTAGGGTTTAGTCTACAATAATTTTCAACCACTTACCTTGGACATGAGCATTATATTCTTTGCATGCTCCCCCAACAATTTTCTGACCTCAAGAAGGTCTGAACCTTTGCGCACGAAAGAGAGTGCGATCATGTCAATCTTATTGGGAACCCCCCACTCCAAGATATCAATTTTGTCCTTCTCTGTTAGTGTTGGCAGATCAACAACCACTCCAGGGAGATTGACATTCTTCTTCTCACCCAACTCTGCAGAGTTTTCGCAGCGACAATGCACCAAACCACGCTCCTCGTCGCAAGCCAGAACCCTCAGAGTAATTTTTCCATCAGCACACAAGATATCGGTTTGTGGGTTCACATCCTCAGCCAACCTTTTGTAGCTCATACAGATCATACTCTCATCACCAAGAATGTTATAGTCAGTGGTGATGGTGATCTCTTGACCTTGTTTAAGATTTATAGACTTCCCGTCTTTCAGAAATCCCGTTCGAATTTCTGGACCCTGTAGAAAGAAAATAACACCATTGTTAGCCAATTTTTCACAATAATCACAAAAAGGAAAAGGAAAGAAAAGAAAAAAACATCAAACAATTTCTCATGTTTTTTTTTTTTCAAAAATCAGAATCTCAACAAGTAATTGCATGAGATTTTACCTTAGTGTCCAACATGACAGCGCAGAGGATGCTGGTGTTGTTCATGGCGGTCCTAAGATTATCCAGAGTTTCTTGATGGTAAGCATGAGTACCATGTGAGAAGTTGAAGCGAGCAACGTTCATCCCAGCCCTCAGAAGCTTCTCCAGCATCTCAACAGACCGCGAAGACGGCCCCAACGTGCACACGATCTTAGTCTTAGGCTTTCTATCCCCCACAACTTCAAGCACCTTCTCCATTGCCATCACAAACCAAACTTCACAGAAAGCAAAGGGTGTATGAAGCGTTTTGGGTAGGGTTTTGAAACAGAAGGTTTCTTGGGCAGGACGTCTCGTGTGAGTTGTGACTTAAAGCGTTGAAAGATGAGATATATATATAGGGGTGTTACAAACTTATTGTAGGGACTTTTGCGTTGGGGTTTTCCTATTGCAATTGGCATATTCCCTTTATTCCCGAGTGAGCAAGGAAAAAGAAATTGAATTTATTTTCTGTGTAATTATTATTATTGCTTTGGACCAAAGGACTTTCCTAGTTAATTTCTTTGTTTGCCTTGGACCCGAAGGCCAAAATTATTAAAGGGAATATAAAATCTCACATATGATTATAGAACACTCTAACATATTCAGACTCCCAACCCCCACTTCTCGTAGGAAAAAAATTTACCTAATAAATTCAGCATTCATGTGTTTCTTGGAGGATACTTTGTTTTCGGTTTTGATTTATTTGGAAAATTATGCACCTCCTACTTTCTGCGTACTCTACCTTCTTTTTTGTTTATGTGGTCAAAATCGAATACTCGATGGTGGGTTCTTTTCCGTTTTTATTGCAGGCCTTGCAATTTCTGGTGCCTTATTTGCCTGGTTAAGTAAGTGTGTTTTTCTTTTTTTTAAGAAATTATATTATCTACACTAAAGGAGAGGAGGTGGGCTAAATCTTACAATGGGTTAGCAATAAAGTGGTTCAAATTCGCCTTTGACAATAATCGAACCTTCCTCTCACTTACAAATGAAGAGGAATATCACTAAACCGTAGTATTAAGTGGCGGTTAAGTAATTGTATTAGATTGAGGATTAATTTGGTAATAATGATAACCTAAGCTTTAATTAATTAATTTTTTTTTCTTCTATAATGATATTTGAGTGTGAGTATTTGAATTAAGTTACAAGTGAAAAAGCACTATTAAACCCTAATGTCATTGGCAGCCTTAATTGTTATTTGTTTGTTTGTTTTTATTATAATTATTATTACCAAGGGGAGGAAGATAGTTTGAAACTATTACAATAATTTGAAGAAGGGGAGTTTCCCGGAATGCATGAGTAGAAGCTCAACTACTCTATCTACTAAGATATTGGATCACATACAAATATATATATATATATATATATATGTTTAAACTAACTAGGGAAGAGAGAGGAAGAAATTGGTGTTGAATTAGCCATTTACGAGATTCAAACTTATAATCTCTCAATTACAAATGAAGAGAAATATTATTATATCTTTTGGGGTAAACTATCGATGTAGTCCCTAAATTATTACTTGAGTAAAAATTAGGTCCCTAAAATATTTTTTAAATGAATCAGTCCTTAAACTAATAAAATCTATCAATTACATCTCTAATATTATATTCAGAGCTATTTTATTAAATTTTTCGTCAATTTAAGTAGCGTGACTTGCATGTCACACATTTTAGAGGGTAAATTGGTAATTTTCCATAGTTTGAGGACTTTTTTTTTTTTTTTTCTCAAAGATGTAGTATATGGAGTTAACCTTAGAGGGTAAATTAGACGTTAGATTTACAAATTATATGCAAGGTTAAGGGCTTATAGGCAAGACAATGACGGCTTTACCCTCTAAAATGTGTCATATTACTTAAGTTGACAAAAAATTGAATAAAATAGCTTTTAATATAATATTAGGGATAAAATTAGTAGTTTTAATGAATTAAAGGACTTATTTTAGCTAAAAAATAATTTAAGGACCTAATTTTCACCAAGGTGATAATTCACAGACTAAAGCGGCAATTCACCCAATTGTATGTTGTATTTTGATCTCTTTTTAACCTACCAAACAACATCATGTCGGTTTATTTTAAGCTACCAAACAACATCGTGTCACAATGTCTTAAAGAAGGTTGGCTTACTTAGGGAAATTTTGATAACAAAATTTTCAATCATACAAAACAATGAAAGCTTGATCGGATAATCCCGCTTTGCCAACTTGGAACACTCCCCCACTCAACTCAAACTCCAATCCCACCCTCAGTCAATTTGAAGCCCCCAACCCAATTTAACAAGTAGGGCATACAATGCTTACAAAATTGACAATATCCCAAGCAACACGTCCTACATATCAAAGATGATAAGCACGTTGAGGTTACAAACATCCTGAATATAGAAAATAGCCATGATTTGGTGCAATGTAACTAATTTTACTAATTCACATGTTATAATATAAATAAATAATAATGATGATATCGTAACACTTTAGTGAAGTGTAACATCTTAGCGGCCTAACACGTTATAATATAAATAAATAATAATGACGATATCGTAACACTTTAGTGAAGTGTAACATCTTAGCGGCCTAACACGGATACCAAATAAGTTTAGGGTAGATATCATCAAACCATCCGATGCCATTATAAGATCAACACAAAACAGCTATGTTCCAAAAATATGACATTCCATACCAAACTGATAACAAGTATCTAAAGACGGCACTTATTCAAAACCCTAACCCTATAATAAGCCTCTACAAGATCAGCTCTGTTTTTACTTGATCCATTCTGGTTGGAAACCCAACCATCAAACTGCAACAAAATGCACAAAAACTGGGTAATATTTCAGCTTAAGCATCGTCCAGAGCAAGGACTCCGGGTAGTGTTTTCCCTTCGAGGAGCTCTAAGCTTGCACCGCCTCCGGTGGAGATGTGGCTCATCTTCTCAGCAAGCCCAGCCTTCTCAACAGCGGCAACTGAGTCACCACCTCCGATGATTGTTGTCACGCCCTTGCCGCTCAGCTCTGCAAGCTTCTTAGCTATTGCCTGATCACAAGAAAAGAATTAGATTAGTATCTGTGCCTAAATGTGTGAAGTCTCTGATTATCAGGGTTCTCAAGTACCAAAACAGTTGTACATGACGACTTTAGACAATACGAATATACGGATCCGCATTTTATCAGACAATTCAGAAGTGATAATATAAGAACTTATGATGGACATCATAGCACGGAGGCTTCTCCGGATGAGCTTGATACTTGAAAATTTCAAAATCATCAGGAATTTAGTTTGTTATTTACCTCAGTCCCAGCAGCAAACTTCTCAAATTCGAAAACACCCATAGGTCCGTTCCAGATAATAGTTTGAGTGGTATCGAGAGCTTCACTGAAAGTTTTGATCGAGTCTGGTCCAATATCCAATCCCATCCAACCATCTGGAATAGCAGACGCTGGCACAACCTGCAGGAAAATATATGCATTTGAGACTCACAAAGGTATCACCTTTTCAAGACGATTTTTAAAAGAAAAGAGAGGAACTACTGACCTTGCTGTTTGCATCAGCTGCAAATTTGTCTGCAATAACCACATCAGTTGGGAGGAGAATAGAAACCCCCTTAGACTTGGCCTTCTCAAGAAGCGACCTTGCAAGATCAAGCTTGTCCTCCTCTACAAGCGAAGATCCAACTGAATGACCTTGGGCCTTGTAGAAAGTAAAGATCATTCCTCCACCAAGCAAGAGAACGTTAACCTTCGCCAACAAGGATTCTATCACTCCAATCTTGGTTGACACCTTTGAACCGCCAACAATAGCAGCAAATGGCCTCTTAGGATTTGCCACGGCACCAACAAGATAGTCGAGTTCCTGACATCACCACATGAATAGAACATGGGTTAGCACAACAAGAAAATTGTTGTACCAAATATGAAAAGTAAATGTATGAAACATCCTGCGATCGCCCTTATTCTTAAGAGGGAAAAACTTCAATGAGAAGCAGGACAGTGGAGCATTCATAGTTTACGTAAGTGCAATTGGTCAGATACATCTACATACCTTCTGCATAAGGAATCCAGCAACGGAAGGCTTCAAGTACTTAGCGACTCCCTCTGTTGATGCATGAGCCCTATGAGCAGTACCAAAAGCATCATTCACAGTAAACATCTGCAAGTGAAGCAAGCTTCTTGGCGAATTCAGGGTCATTCTTCTCTTCCTCCTTGTAGAACCTAACATTCTCAAGGAGCAAAACTCCTCCCTCTGGAAGTTGAGCAACCAATTTCTCGACTTCCTCACCAATACAGTCATTGGCAATCTTAACCTGTAACAGAAAATGAATAAACACGCGATGAGCAAATAGTGCTTCCCATGAGAAAAACACCATCAGACAAAAATTGTAATGTTTAATAAAATACAAACCTCGAGTCCAAGGAGCTCAGAAAGCCTGGGCACGAGAGGCTTCAAACTGTACTTGGGAGTGACTCCCTTGGGACGTCCCTGAAAACAACAATTCAGAGAATATTTTCGTAAGTAACTTTCAAAGGTTACCTCAAATTGGTATAGCAAATAAGAATGTAAGCACCAACTGAAACACCATTGACACCAGACCTTGCAACACAAATCCATCCCACTATATCCAGGCATTTAGCAAAAGTAATACACAAGTAAAAGAAGCAGTGAAATTTGAAGGATAACTGCTTAAGCAGCCGCAAGAGCTGCACAACTTGCCAAGATCATCAAAGGCGATGTTTTTAAGAAACAAACTTTTCAAAGTAAACAATCTATACTGATTCTTCATTACTTTCAAAGGATCAACTATACGAGTAACAGAAAACAGTCATCGCTACGAAACAATGACAGATGAATTACTAGACCACTGGGAACAAAATTACAGCAAATGATATGGTCAAAATAATAAGATAACTAAAAAAATTAAATAAGAATAGCAGTAAACAAAATGGGGATCTTCAAATTGACCAACATAGATCAAGCAGAAAATCCATCACAATCCTTATCAATCAAACTTATAAGATCTACGCTGACCATGCAAAGCAGATCCAATCAGTAATTTTCAGAATTCAGAACAACTTCAATAAAAAAAAAACTAATCGATTCAAAACACAGAAATCTTCCAAACCGACACAAACCCATATACTTGATCACCCAAAAAAGGAACCCAGATTCTAAAACAGGAAAAAAAAAAAGTAAATGCGGATTAATCGCCATGAATTACCAAGTGAGAAGCCAGGATAACTTTGGCGCCATGGCCGAGCAAGTACTTGATGGTGGGCACGGCGGCGCGGATTCTAGTATCGTCGGTGATGTTGGAGTTGTCATCCAAAGGAACGTTCAGATCAACCCTCACAAACACTCTCTTCCCCTTCAACTCAGCCTCCTTCAAAGTACTCACACTCTTCTTGGTCGCCATCGCAGCACAAAAATCACCTTCAAAACAATCCAAAAACAGTACAAATCGATCAGAATTATAAAAACCCAGATCATTTAATTAGCAAATAAATACGAAAAGAAGTGTAAGATTGGATCTTGGAGGGCTTACCGTACAAAGATGAGAGAAAATGTAGTGGGTTTTTGGGAGCGAGAGATGTAAAGAACAAGGACGGGAGACCGAGGACTCAGTTGTGAGAGAAAGCTTACTTTATAGAGGAAGATTTGGTGCGTGGGATGTACGACACGTGCGAGTTATACCTTAGGAGCGCACCTAGTTATTGCTAATCTTGGGCAGCACGAAGAGCTCATAGGAATCTCGACTCTTCTTTCTCTGGGCCTGGCCTTGGGGAAAACCTTGGGCTGG